AGTGAGTGAGTGAGTGAGTGAGTGAGTGAGTGAGTGAGTGAGTGAGTGAGTGAGTGAGTGAGTGACAGACAGAGACAGAGAGAGACAGAGAGAGGTGCAGCAGTCAGCCCACCCGAGGCTGAAGGTCAACAGATGATCATGCTAAGCTTGCTAACTGTTCCACCCTCTGACTGCTGCAGGGGCGTGTCTTAGAGAGAGGCTTTTATACCAGAACACAGCTGCTGTGACGAAACCGTGCAGAAGCACGTCACAGTGGTGCAGAGAGCCGTTAACCAATATGTAAATTAGCCTGCAGTACCACTGCTCTACGCATATGCGCAGCAAAAAGACGTTTTTAGACCAAATATTACAGATTTGAACAAATACGCACAAAAACATCAAAATTAGCACAGAAACAGTACTATATAACATTTTAGACACATTCTAGACAGTTTATCAGCTAAAAAAGTTAATTTTGGGGATAAGTTACTCTTTAACAGAACAGTGTACTCTGCGTTAATGACCTCTTTTACATCCAGACCAATCTGAWTGCATTTGGCTTGCTGTACTACTCCTTTTTTTGCAACATCATGAATTTGAAAAAACCCGAATCCTGTGAAGCAAAGATTGTGACTGTAGGGGCTACAATGAAAAATCCATTACATCCCACAACAAAACTCTAACCACGTTCTAACTTTGTGATGCCAAATGAAAATGTAAAATATGTTTCTGACAGGGTCCTGGTAGAACTGCGAGCTGTCCTCCATCCTGCCTGTAACATCACATTAGTTTTAAAAGAACACAGCTGGAAGCACAGCAATCAGCTGAAAAGGTCAGCTGTTCAGCCAGGACAAAAGAGACGCCTCCTGCTGAGCCACTGCAGCTTCGACACTCAGACACGTAGCAGGCGTGTCAGCAGAACTGCCTCGCAGTCTTCAATCACCTCTGGGAAGGTGCTGAGTTTCAGCGCCTCGGCCCCCACSGTTCAGCCGGACCCTCTCAGTAAAGGTCAGCAAGAGGGCTATGAGCGGTGCAGTGTTGGGTACTTACAACAGGGGTAATTGAGCAGCACAGTGTCGTCCAAGGCGATGTAGCCCTGCCGATCATCAGAAACGGTGGCTTCAAAGATGACCTGCAGACACAACGGAGAAATTAAACGAGTGTTGGAGCATCAAGGAGAGTGGAGCTGRGTAATTACAGGGCCCAAGTTCTGTGAAGAACTAAAACACAAAGACACATTTTTACAGTTGTGTGACTGCTGAGTAAGCAGCTTTTCAGTTTCATATGTGTACTTTTTCAATCAAATTACTTCTGTTTACTTCAGCGTATTTCACCTTTCATCAGATCTACAAAGGGTTAAAAATAATCAAGGTAACTGAAATTATTTTTCTAGATGAAAACATTGTGTTTACTTCAAATTRGTAAAGATTTTCACCTCTTTTGATGTTTGACACTTGTTATAAATCAGCTAAAAATTGGCCTTTTTGACAAAAATAATAATAAGATCTTCTTAAAACCAAAATAAAACTGATTTCTGCAAAGTTAAGTCAGTTAAACAAATCAAGTAAAAAAAATTGTAAAGGAAAAAGCATTTTTATAAAAAAAATTTCTACTTCACAATAAAAAAATAAAAATCCAGCCTTTTAAAGCCATATTAATACGTTGAATGAGGCAGCAGAATTGTTTCTCTGGTGTTTCTTATCTGCAAGAACGTCAAACCTCTTTTAAATTTCCCAAGCTTACAAATAATCCTAATCAGTTATTTAATTAGTATAACATGAGAACACGACTGCACAGATTAATCACAGATTTAGATGGTAATGGTGGAAATGACAGGAATCCTGAAACTCACACAGAAACTTTAACTTAAAGCAGATCAGAAACTGTCAAAGAAAATTCAAATGTAACAAATTATAAAATATTCTCACAGTTCTGTAGCTGGTGTATGAGGTGCCGTTTGTAAAGTTACACAGTCAAAAATTACCACCAATTATTTTGTTTTATTTAGCCTTTTATGAGAAAAAAAGAACAGATTTATTTTTCAAAGTCAGTTTTT